GCCGCCGACGTCTCACCCACTGATGGCAGGTTGAAATCCCCCAAGACCATAAGTCTGGGGGTCCCAACCGCCACCCCGGCTATCACGTCAGCCAGCTCAGGCAGGGCTGTTGATACATAGCAGGGAGCCAGGTATATAATCAACAAGCCCACTTGTACCCCTTGCCCCCATTTCACGAGGAGGGACTCCACGCCGTCTAATTCCACATCTCTTCATCACTGAATTAAAACTGAACTCTAGACTCTAAGACTCTAGAAAGAGTGCAGAGAAGAGCAACAAAGATGATAAGGGGACTGGAAGCTAAAACATATGAGGGACTGGAAGCTAAAACACATGCTGGAATTGGGTATGTCTAGTTTAATGAAAAGAAAGATGGGGGGTGACATGCTAGCAGTGCTCCAATCCTTAAAGGACTGCCATAAAGAAGAGAGGGTCAACCTGAAGCAGGACAAGAAACAATGGATGGAAACTAATCAAGGAGAGAACCAACCTAGAACTAAGGAGAAATTTCCTGAAGTGAGAACAATTAATCAGTGGAACAACTTGCCTCCAGAAGTTATGAATGCTCAGCACTGGAAGTTTTCAAAAAGAATCCTTTGGCATAAAGGCAATGAAGAAAATACAGTCATTCTAATAATTATGAGGAGAGGCATGCCCTTTGTGAAATCTGGACAACCATTTGTCTGAAATGGTATAGGGTTTCCTGCCTGAGCAGGAGGTCCCTTCCAACTCAGTTATTCTGTTCTAACATGCACATTTTGTCACTTGCTCCCACTTGTCTCTATACCAAAAAAATGGGACTACATGGAAGTAAGATGAAGGATCATGTCTCTTTTACAAATCTCCAGAAAGCAAAGCCTAGTTTAGCTTTGAAGAAAGTCCTGCAGACTAAGGACACTGGTGATGTCTCGATCTTGGCCATTCTGAAAGAGTTCCACCAGAAAAAGTTGGGCCAAACTTATCCAGCCTCTCTCCTTGGATTGGTAGTAAAAGTTGCATCAATAGTTCTCCAGTTGGTTCCAGCACATGGGTTCACACAAAGCTGAAGATTTCACAAAGGGCATGCCTCTCCTCATAATTATTAGAATGACTGTGTTTTCTTCATTGCCTTTATGCCAAGGGATTCTTTTCCCCTCTGGAAACTGGTCTTGAAATAAACAACAGACTCAGGAGCAACATATAGTAATCTTTACCAGCAGTAAAGTTAGTGCCTAAATACATCTCGTGCCCATGGGAAGCTGGATTGAGCTTCACAGCCAGTAAACATTGTGTTCCTGTATTGAACCTGGTTCTATCACTGGAAAATCTTTGCTGGACTTCATATGCATTAGAAAATCCACTGAAATTCAACCCTATTTCAAGAGACTTTGTGCTTCTCCTATAATCCATCAGATCAGAAATGGTCTGGCTGCTTCTGCTTCTCATGCTGCTCTTTCTGTTGCCACAGGCTACCTGCAAGATACTCAGCGCCAAATGCCTCTTAAGTATGGGGAGGGATGCAGTAGACCCATTCAATCATTACAAGCCAGGACACCATCTCATTGGTGGACTCTTCTCTGCAACCAATCCTGCTGAAATTCAGCCATTTAGTTTCAAAATGACTCCCTCTACAAAATTTTATGGGTAAGTAATCACATAGATGATGGAGCTACATCACAGTCTGTGCTTACATACTTGACCTTGGCACATTACTATTTTGTGCGTAAATCAATCTGGTGTTGTGTGAAATTGGTTTTCTTTTTAAAACTCAATTATTTACTAAATAATTGCTCAATTGAACATTTCGAAAGCGAGAGTCTCATTGCACAATTACTCTATACTTTTCTATTTCTATACGTTTCCTTTTTTGTGAGTTTGCTCTTAAGTTACAGCACTGTTTCTTTGTGGTTCTTCCTTTTTCCAAATCTTACATGGCTATGTTGCTTATCTCCTATCTTCTTTCCAGTTTTTGGTTTCCTCACTCAACTGAGGTAGGAAAGTCCATAAAACTTTGATAGCTCAGCAATTTCTGAGTTATATTTCTTCCCCACATTTAATGAAGCAAAATGGACAGAATTGCACAACCCACACACAAGCCCTTGATTGCTCAATTAACCCATTTTCTAGGATTATCCAATAAATTCAGTTGCAAGTCCCAAAGATGCTTTTTCAGGAGGCAACTGGACTTTCTTGTTTTTGTTGGAAGACATTTCGCTTTCCATCCAAGAAGCTTCTTCAGCTCTGACTGGATGGTGGGGAATGGAAGGATTTTATATTCCTTGCAGACTTTCATTCCCCACCATCTAGTCAGAGCTGAAGAAGATTCTTGGATGAGAAGCAAAACATCTTCAAAGAAAAAAAAAGAAAGTTCAGTTGCCTCCTGAAAAAGCACCTTTGAGACAACCATGACCTGGATGACGGAGAATCTCCAAGCTAACTTAACAGGCCTGCTGCATACTACACACTAACCAACACAAACATGAGGTAAGGTTCACCCTAACAAAGCTTCACAAATTGTCTGAATGCCATTTGAGGTCTTTCACTCATCAAATTAAGCCTCTCCTATGAATGAGCCAAATAAATTCCAAGATGGGCCAAAGCTAATTGGAAAATCCTGGGTGGGAACTCATTTATTTTATTAAATATGAGCACCACCCAACTCCAAAACAGTTCTATATAAACAATATAAACCCAGACAAAACAAATAAAAACAAGATTGATAGAATAGGTAAGCAAGATGGCATCCAGTCACTTCATAAAATGCATAGACCAATATGCAAAAACAAGGGACACTGAGTATATAAGTGTTCTCAGGAGATTCAAACCAAGCGAGCAAGATGGAAATGCAAAGAAACATAGAAAAAGATCACAACCTTTCATTTGAGGGAAATCAGAAGCTAGTAATTCATTGCAATTATTCACATAGTTTCCTTCTTCATGTAGTTGTTCTTCGGATTTGTTTCATACACACACATTCCCACACAATCCACTCATACATTCAATGATAAATTGCAAAGTTCCCAAGGAGTGACTGGACTGTTAGAATGCCATTTCATAAGAGCCAGGAAGGTAGAGAGATACCTTATCAGTACCAGGAAGTATGTTTAGAATTAAGACACAGTTTTGATGTACACATTGTCTAGATTGCTTCAGTTCTAACAGAATAATAGAGTTGGAAGGGACCTTGGAGGTCCTCTACTCCAACCGCCTGCTCAGGCAGGAAACCCTATATCATTTTAGACAAATGGTTGTCCAGTCTCTTCATTAAAACTTCCAGTATTGGAGCATTTACAACGTTGTTCCACCGATTAATTGTTCTAACTTTCAGGAAATTTCTCCTTAATTCCAGGTTGTTTCTTTCCTTGATTAGTTTCCATCCATTGCTTCTTGTCCTACCTTCAGGTGTTTTGGAGAACAGGTTGACTTCCTCTTCTTTGTGGCAACCCCTGAGATATTGGAAGACTGCTATCATGTCACTCCTAGTCCTTCTTTTCATTAAACTAGATATGCCCAATTCCAGCAACCGTTCTTTGTATGTTTTAGCCTCCAGTCCCCTAATCATCTTTGTTGCTCTTCTCTGCACTCTTTCTAGAGTCTTAGAATCTAGAGTTCTGTTTTAATTCAGTGATGCAGAGATGTGGAATTAGGCAGGGATCCTTAATTCAGGAACATTACTTTTCATCAATGCAGAATGATGATACCATGTGCGTATATTTTCAGGGAAGGAGATGTGAAGTACTGGAAAATTCTGTCCTTCCTTTTTGCCATTCAGGAGATCAACCAAGATTCCCACCTCTTACCCAACCTCACTTTGGGATATGACCTCCAAGACAACTTTAGAAACAGACGAATGACTTTGGATGGTCTGTTGGACCTGCTTTCAACTGGAGAGGCCAATGTTCCCAACTACAGTTGTGGAAGGAAGAAAAACATGCTGGTTCTCCTAGAAGAAGCTGATTCTGATATATCCATTCACATTGCTGCTATATTGGGCATATACAAAATAGCACAGGTATGTGAGGGGAAGGGTGGTTCACCATATTCCTCATATGAGACTTTTACTCAGAATGTCTACAAATGCCAGTATTTGTGGACTCACATTCTTAAACTCAAACATACATAGAATAAGAGGATTGGAAGGGACCTTGGAGGTCTTCTGGTTGAACCATCTGCTCAAGCAAGTGACCCTATACCATTTCAGATAAATGTCTAGTCTTTTCTTAAAAGCTGTCTCGTCTCTTCTTAAAAGCCTCCAGTGATGAAGCACCCACAACTTCTGAAGGCAAGCTGTTCCACTGATTAACTGTTTTCACTATCAGGAAATTTCTCCTTAGTCCTAGGTTGCTTCTCTCCTTGGTAAGTTTCCATCTGTGTTTGATTTCAGTCTGTTGTTTGATATTAATTGATTGACGGTGTTAACATCCAGCTTGAATATCCAAATAAAAATCCAGGATCAATTCATTTCTGAAAAGCTTACTGTTTATCAAATACATAGCATGGTAATGGTGAAGTAAAACTAATTCTGAATTTCTAAAGCATCCGTTCACAGTATTAAACAATGA